CTCTCTCACCTTAACCTTCCCCCAAGTATCCCAGGTACCCCAAGCACACACATACACACTGTACCATCCAAGTTAGGAGCTTACCTGTGTGTATGTGTAGGTGGGTTGTATGTGTATGAACTGGTGTGTGTGTGTGTGTGTGTATATATATATGGCATTGTGTGCATGATATACGAATTAGTGATCTGTGTCTAACTTCTGGGGTGTATAGTGTATGTGCTTAAATTGGTAATAGGGCGACATGGCTACCAAGTACACCCCTGAAACATGGAAGATGCCAAATTTCAGCCGATTTTGGATTTTAAATTTCATTGCAGAACAACAAGGAAGTTTTTTTTACCTCCCTGCTTCCCATCTGACACCTTTAGGGAAGGAATTCTACCTGATCAACACATCAAAGAGCTACTCAACACAGCTCACAAAGACACTCTCATGGACCCAGAGGGACAGACTACCATCTACACTTTTCCCAGAGTTTGACAAAGGGACTTTGATCCTGAAAGCTTACAGAAAAGGACAATTTTCTTGCCATTTTCCAGTTGGTCTAATAAAAGGTATCATTTTGAAGCCAAGAGTTCTAGTTTTTTGTATGAATTGGTGATACGTATGCATGTGCCTAGGCTGGTTTGGATGTGTACAGGTCAGTCGCATCATGTGCGCATTTAACTTGCACGAATTCAACTATACGCGGGGTGGGAGGGGGGGCGGGGTTTGAGTTTGCACGCGGCACTGCCGCTTACCTGGAGGCCCATTATGGCAGTGATGGCCACTGCCTCCAAAACCTCCCGCAGTCACCATGGAACCGTGCCCGGAGCTGTGTGGCTGGCCGCCAGGCAGCAGCAGCAGCATGGTGGTGGCCGTGTGGCACGCAGTTATCCCCACCACCACCCCGCGCTGCACCACTGCCACCGGCCGTACAGCTATAAGCCCAGCTCGTTTTGGAGGCAGAGGCAGTCACCACTAGTCAAATCGCTGGCACGGTAATACGCGATTTGACTATACGTGATTTTCGCCTTA